GGCCAATGCTTTACTAACTGAACTACTGTCGCCCTGTTCTCCTTGTTGTGGCTGGCCCACCACGTCCACCTTTACTTTGAGTACTTGAGGGTTTTTTTTCTCTTTGATTCATGAAAATTAGAGTTCATTAAGAAAACTAAACAACTTAAAAACAAAAACAAAATAAACATGTTTTTTTGAATCCTAAACCTGTCTCTGTGTCCCATGTATGTTTAGTCCTTCGAGTTGTGACATGGCCTGGAAAATGCAGTGCAGGATGAGGGGGGACCGGGCATGCTTTTAAATCGGTTTTCTCTTCAGGAAAATATTCAAACTCCACATGTTCTACAATGAAAGATGTATCAGACGTATAAGCCGTCGTCTTTCTCGCTCACCTTTCCATAAACATGCATATTTTGTCGGTCTCCCACAGAGCTCCAACCAGACTTCTCCGATGCATCCGCTGTGGAGCTTTGCATTATTACATTCATCTCTGTTGTCGACGCTGTAAACGGCTTCTCACAGCTTTCACGTAAACATGGAGCTCTAAGATAAAGTATTCAAAGTAGTTTAAAAAAAGGACTGAGAGTGAGACATCTGCATTATCTTACTCCTCATATGACTCTATGAATAAAATGGAAAGACATGCACTAACATATACATTTACTGGCTGCTAAACAAGAAGAGGTTTTAATGCCTGTGTGGGAAATTAGCTCCAAATATTCAGTCTGTAATCTAGATCCTAACTAATCTAATCCACTTAGTTTATATACTGTAGCACATTTTATAAAAGTTTTCAATGTACTGCACAGAGATAAGAGTAACACAATATACAGGTTGGTCAGCTTTACATGTATACAAATATAATAAGTAAAACGATATGATGTATGAAGTAAAAACATTAAAAATCCTAATCACTGAGTTTTACACATTCCACCTTTTTTTTTTTTTCTTTAACATCCTCGCTCTGCCAAACCTGAGCCTGGATAGGACTTGGACTATGATCAAGAAAAAAAGACGGTATTTCTTATTTAAACTCTGCAGATGGGCAGATGGGCAGACTCTTCAGTTTGTTTGACCTGAAATGTGGCTATCCCATGTGTGATTGTAATGTTTTAATGTTTTTACTTACTTGCGTGATGTTTTTTTTGTGTGTGTGTGATATAAACGTTTGTTGAGAATTTCCTGTTGGATTTTAATCATATTTATTTTATTTATTTTATTTATTTCATCAAGAAGGCCCAGCAGAGGATGTACTTCCTGCGGCAGCTCAGGAAAGCCAAGCTGCCTGCACAGATGTTGGTGCAGTTCTACACGGCCATCATCGAGTCCATCCTCACCTCCTCCATCACCGTGTGGTTCGCTGTAGCCACAGTCAGGGACAAACAGAGACTACAGCGCATTGTGCGCTCTGCAGAGGAAGTGATTGGCTGCAGCCTTCCATCGCTGCAGGACCTGTACGTCGCCCGAGCCTGGGGCCCGGGCTGGTCGTATCACAGCCGACCCCTCTCACCCTTCACATGGGCTATTCCAACCACTCCCCTCAGGCAGGAGGCTGTGGTCCATCAGGACTAGAACCTCCCGCCACAAGAACAGTTTCTTCCCCTCTGCTGTTGGACTCTTGAACACTTCTTAACCTGTCCCCCCGCCCTTTATAAAGTCACTTTACTGCCCATCATACGTCACTTTACTTCACTGTACTGCTGTCACCTTACATTGTGTGCACCATGTGCACTTGTATATTGTAAATAGTAACTGTAACTCTATTTTAAATTTAAATTTATTCTTTAGAAGTGTTTTTTATTCTTATTTTTATTATCTCTTTCTGACTGTTGCACTGAGCCAAAGCAATTTCCAAGTCTGACCTCCTGTTACTTACGTGGCAATAAAAATTATTCTGATTCTGTTTTATTTAATTTATTCTTAAGGACAATAACATCAAGTCCAAGCATAAAACACAAAGCAAGGACAAACGAGGGACAAACAAAAACACCAAAGAAAAAAGAAAACAAGAAAAAACCAGACAAAACCAAGGATTTTTCACATTCACACAACATCAAAAACTGTCGAATAATCAAAATGTCCTTCCAATGATGATATTTATGTAGATTTTAAAGCTTATGCATTATGCCTGATGTGATGTGGGTTGTGAGTGGCTTTGTGTAGAACGTTTTTTTGATGGATAGCCTTGTTGAATATCCCTGACCCATAGCTTACATTTGCGGCTGTGATGGCAGGAGAATCCCGACCTGAAATGACCGTTTTTCTACAGAGCTGCTGTCCCTAATTACACAACAGCCACGGGGCATTTCTCGGAGGCTTCGGCAAAAACCAAGGTCAAACGAGACGGCGTGAATAAACACAGTCTGCAGTAGCATTAGCATAGCCTCTTCACGGCGCTGGTCGATAATTGCCCTAGAGTTAAATCCATCCAACAAAAACACTTCTTCTCTCAGATCAGCTCATTATTTAAAGAAAGTGTTAGCGCTGGTTGCAAAACAAGATTTGAACTGAGGTTGTTTTCTCTTTGATTCTGTTTTTTTACGATTGCGCTGTGCAGCAAAAACACTTCCTGTTTGTTCTCACCGATTGCGACATTGATTCATGCTCAGGAGAGGCATTTTCACAGCAATTTTGATATTGAATGAAATGTGTCAGCCAAGGCGGTGTGAAAATCTTCTTGATGGATCTATCAAAAATGTATCAACTCATTTTGGACACATGTGAAATGAATGAAGGCCTACAACGTCTTTCAAAGTGTTTTTTTCCTTTTCCACCGACGGAACGCAATCACAAAACACATCACGTTTTGCTTGTTTTAACTGTGTTTGGATTTGGAGCGTTTGGTGCAGCCCTGAGGTTGTTGCAGCAGCAGGTGGGACAAACAGGCGCACCTCTGAGGCCAAAAAATATATTCAAAAAAACCTTGAATGATAAACAATGGGAAATAATAGAATGAAGTGAGAGTAATGAGTGCACAAGAGCTCACTGGGCTGCTAATGGAAAATGTCAGCCTGTATCTTTTTTCTTAGAATGCTCAGAGGTGTGTCTTTTGAATGAGAAAAGCTGCTTCAGAGCGGTGCACGTAACAGGAAGATGAAATTGTTAAAAAGGCTGCCTTAGAGACTGTCACGCTGGCCCTTTAAGGGGGCGGAGCTTGGACCACCGGAGACCCACGTGCGCCCTGCATCATGCACAGAGCGAGAGAGAGGAGTGGAGCGAGCACATCTTACTTTGCCGTGTCTGAGGCTATATCCACACGAAGACAAAACGCTTATAATTTCAGAAACTTTTTCTGTAAACACGGAGTTAGCTCAGTAAATGTGTGCGTCCATATGAATGTAGTCAATACGCCTGAAAACGCTGTGAAACTATGCCAGACCTGTTGGTGGCGCTGTGACGCAATGACGGGATCAAGCCCAAACTTCCGTGGGCATGCGCGGAATTTTGTAAACAGACAACATGGCGAGTGGGCGAGCTGGTACTACATTAGTATGGGCGGACGATGAGGTTGAACTGTTGCTTCGGGTCACACTGGATTACAAAACCAACAAGCTACATTGTTGTTGTCATTATTTTCTGAGTGCGGAGCATGCGTGCTTTAACAAGAGGCGGGGCGATGACGCAAGCGTCTCAGATACATTGCGGAGAGGCAGTAACCACGGAGCGGCATATACGGAATTTTGAAATCTTTCCACTCTGGGACCTAGTTTCAAAAATGTTCGTTTACACCCCCCCAAAACGCCGGCCTCGTATGGACGATACACTGGCTTGATAAAGTATTTTTGCGTTTAGGCCTGAGCTTGACTTCGTGTGGACAGGGCCTGAGTGTTTTCATAAGTTTAAGTTAAAGTTTGCAGTAGTTTGTGTGTTTAAGTCAAAGGTGTGCGTTATAAAAGTAAGTACTGTGTATGGAAATGTTTAGTTAAGTATAGTTTAATAGTTATCAGTGTTTTTACTGCTAATTGATGCATGCGCCCATCACATGGTCATCACGTGGCTCCTCTGTTTAGCGCGATGAGCGCGGCGCTGCACTATTACATGTTTGTAGATGTGGATGTAATATGTTAGTGTGAGTTTGTTAGTCTTTCCACTAATATATAATTATTGTATAGTAAGTTCAGTGTGTTATAGTGAAGATGTGAATATAATTTAGATACTGTATTAAGAGATGTAGCCAATTATCTAATATTATGTTTATTGTTTCTGTTGGACCACACACACACACACATACCCACCCACACACATCCATATGCTCAAGCTTCAATAAATCATCATATTCAACTCCCTGACTCATCATTGGGTTCTAACCGACCCACCACAGTGTTCTGGACATTCCATTCAGCATCAGTACAGTCACTCTCCTTTTCAGAAATCCAAGAATAATGCGAGCCAACAATGGAACTGTCCTTGGCTCTGCAGAGAATAACACATTTTCGTTCAGTGTTAAGGTTTAACACCGGAACTCCTGGAGCAGTCAATTTGATGGCTGTTGTGTGTTTACGTTTGTGTAAATTTTTTGTCTTCATAACTTTTTGTAATTATGTTTATGAATTAATCCCAATCCTAGACTCGTTCCTGACTGCTTCAGAAAGACCTCGGCTTGGAGCAAGTGCTAGTTACCATAGCAACAAACTGTTAAATTGCAGCAGTTAGTATTTAGTTTTGCTTTATTCCAGCTGTATTCACCAGTTTAAATATGTATTGAAGATATAAAAAATATAAACAGTATGAATGACATATTTTTTGTAGTGAAGTAGTGTAAAAACTATTATTTGCGTGTCTCTGGGAGTTTTTATAGTTTCAAACTTCTGGGAGTCTTATATTTCCCAAACCCTGATGTGAGCCTCTTCCCATGGCCCAAAATCTGCATCAGAGCTCCGCCCAATTCACAGTTAAAGGCAAAGTTACTCTCATCTTAAAAATTAAAGATAATCTCATCAAAAGAAAGATTTTATTAGAAATAAACAATATAGATAAAAAGTTATTAAGAGTAATTGCACTTCCAAAACAAATAACCGTCAAATTGACTGCTCTGAGGGTTTGTTGCTATGACTGTCCTTGTTGCCATCGCCGTCCTCGTTGTCATGACGGCTCTTGTTGCCATGACGGCTCTTGTTGCCATGACGGCTCTTGTTGCCATGACGGCTCTTGTTGCCATGATGGTTCCTCTTGCCATTGCGGTCCTCGTCGGACAGTCTTTGTTGCAATCCCCCGTTCCTGTGGTCCTTATGGTCCCTGTGGTCCTTATGGTCCTTGTGGTCTTCGTGGTCTTCATGGTCCTCGTGCTCCTCGTGGTCCTCGTGGTCCTCATGCTCCTCGCGATCTTTTGTGAGGAAAAAGTCCCGGAAGCCTCTCGTCGACAGCCACAAAATCAGCGCGAACCATGGGCCAAACAGAATCAGGACACAAACCGTAACTTTAACAATTGTTTTTATCTCAGCCTCCTGCGACACAAGAACAAATAACATTAAAACCACAATCAATAAAAAGTGGAAAAGTTCAAGAAATGATATGAATTGTTTTTAAATTTCAAAACTATATAAATTATTTAGCCTCCCAGGCAAGTGCAAGGCCTGGGACTGTCGGCGTGGAGTGCTTCCAAGACTCCTGTGGCTGCTGCTAGAACTTTTGAACCAGAAGACCAACGAAGTCCCAAAGATCTCACTTTGCACTGCCAATGAATATTTGAGAAATTTGTTTTGTTTGCTAGCCACCCACAAGTAAGCGTATGTGTACCCTAAGTCGGACACTTCGAGCTTAAAAAATGCACCGGTTACCCACTTCAACGGGCTATAAAAACGCAAACTTAACCATTTCGCGAACGTTGCTAGCATAAAACGGAAGTTTAAAGTGTTGGCTTTCAAACAATATATATAGAGAATATCTCATTTAACTGTGGTTTTCTATATGCTGTTGAAAATGTTTTGGCTAACCGGAACTATTATCCAGAGTCGGACCCCTCATATCCAGGGTTTGTACAGATTCCATCCGAATAGATCCATGGTTCCATCGCTCTCTCACGGCTCCGTGGCGCTGGCGCATAGGGTCCAAAATGACTATATTTGAACAGTTTTGCATGAACTTTGTGTAGTGCTGACTGGTTAGCACAAAGATCTTTTCCCGTGTCATTTCGTTTTTAAATATATTTTTTTATACTCAAATACATGCCACAAGCACACTTAAATTATTTTATAATTTTCGGATTAAAGTTTCTAAATTCTTATTTCCCCCTAATAGCAAACTTAAAGCTGCACTAACTGACTTTGAGCGCTGGCCCCCCCTCAGCCTGTGCTCACGTGCTAATGGTTTACAGAGCACATTAGAATGTTATTATAATAGATCCATGTACCAACCTTTCTGTTCATGTCGTGCTCAATAATAATAGTTAGCTACAAAGATTGAGGCAATGCATTTTCGCTTAAACGTGCAATTATTTGAAGTAGAGAAATATAACTTATATTACTATTGCAAATGATCAATTTAGAATCATCATTTCACATCAAATTTGACGCTGAAAGCGTCAGACAGTATTTTACAGGTGTAGTTGAAGCTAACATGACGTGCAGGGTTGATGCGGACTGAGGCTGTTCTGAAGTTATTCCAGAACAATTTTCAACCCAAAGCTAACAACAGACCGTCGCCTGAGCCGTCCGAGCGCGTAGTAGCATCAACACTGCCTTCAAACGCAGATTAATCTATGAAATCTTAATAAAAACAGACAACACTTACCATGTAGGAAGACACACATGTGTAGAAAGAGCCCACTAAACGTTAGCCGCGAGCGCTAGAGCTAACAGCGGTAACAAGGACGAGTTCGACGAAAAGGTGGTGGTGTCTGACTCAGGATATTAGGCACCAGAAAGTGTCCGACTCAAGGAACATTCCCGTCAAGCGTATGGAGCAAGTCCTACCATGTGTCCTACCATGTATCCTACAATGTGTCCTACCATGTGTCCCACCATGTGTCCTACCATGTGTCCCACCATGTATCCTACAATGTGTCCTACCATGTATCATACAATGTGTCCTACCATGTGTCCTACCATGTATCCTACAATGTGTCCTACCATGTATCCTACAATTTGTCCTACAATGTGTCCCACCATGTGTCCTACCATGTATCCTACTATGTGTCCTACCATGTGTCCTACTATGTATCCTACAATGTGTCCCACCATGTGTCCAACCATGTATCCTACCATGTGTCCTACCATGGCTGCAATGTTAGATGGTTTAACAGATATAAAGTCTCTTACTTCAGCTGCAGTGTATTTCCTCTGGGACCCAGGACTTTGCTGCTTTGTCTCCATCCTCAAATGCAACTTTAATCTACAGTTAGACGTTCATGTGTCACAAATAAACAGCTGGGAACATTGTTTACATTTAAAATACTTTGTCTTACTCTTGGTGGGAGCCATAACATTGGGGTTGCCAAGGAAACATCTAGGAAACTGCGTGTCATGTGAGCTCTGTTTTGTTCAGGAAAGGGCACCTCATAAATGACTTACGCCAGGAGAATGTTGTAATGTTGATTATTATGTTGAATTTTTTTGAGAAGTCTTAGGGTTTTTTGAGCTGTGCGCCAATTATGAAGGAATGAGTGAATTTATTTAATTATTTGATCAGGGACAACTCACACAAACAGTCCTCTTTTAAAAAAAAGTAATCAACCTGGATTCTTGCCAAAAATGTACTTTCTATCTGTTGTTCCTGGACAGATTTATGGTAAGAGTTTAGTGGTAAAAAAAAAAGAAAGAAATAATGATAATCACAGTAAGACGAGAAACTGACACATTTTCAAGAAAACAATATTACTGTCTCTCTTTCTCATATGGACACACACTTGAAAATAATTACACAAAACAATATATATTCTGTTGACAGTATGAAAAGTAAATGAACTTTTCAAGGTATTTCTAATTTGACCAATCTCACCCATATTTCCATAACAGGTCAAAGTCACCTATGTTTAGAGCGGCTGTGTGGATCTCTGTGAAAGCCGCTCTAAAAATAAAAGTTACAATTATTTAGCTATTCGGAATCAATACGCACTGGGAGATAATTACAATTTCTGTGACAAAGCCGGACGCACAACCACAGAGACTGACGACTCGCGGACAAATCCACATATGGTCTCAATTAGTCTGACCGGCTGGAGACGACCCCGGTCCCACTGCTCATGATTTGATGCACGGCATGAGAGAGGCAGCTGCTCTTATGTAGCCGTCTTCTTATTTAGGGCGACTGTCTGAACTTTGAAAATGATTGAGATAGAAAATGAAGTCTATTCGTCACGTTTTCAACTTATGATTTAACGCTGGAACTCCCGGAGCAGTCAATTTGACGGCTTTTCAGTTTGGAAGCGTGTCTATGTCTGTGTATGTTTTTGATCTTCACAAGATCACAGTTCATCTCAATCCTAGACTGGTTCTCGACTGGATCAGAAAGACCTCGGCGCTGGAGCAAGTGCTAATTACCATAGCAACACTGTTAAATTGCAGAAGTCAGTATTTAGTTTTGCTGTATTATATAAATCCGTGTATCATTCGTTCATTTGATTTTCCATTTGAAACCAACATAAGAAAAACGGATAACCATTTGTTTTTTTAAACTAATTCGAAAATGTGATACGTATTTGTTTTTGTTATTTTATATCCCTCAATTAAACCAAGTGTGTAAAACATGAATAACAGGCATCCTAACTTATTTTTTTCAAATTCGTTTGATGCGCGGAGTTTACCCGGAAGTAGTTTTACGTGAGCTTGCAGGTAAACAAACGTAGAAGAAGACCGGAGGCCCGGGAGGCGAGTAGGTCGGCACTAGATCATATACGGAATCGGGACGAAACCGGAAGTAACAATCCTACTTTCAAATTAATTTTAGACTAATTCGTCCTTAAATGGTGACTGGTTAAGTTTTAGGTGTCTAAGTAAGATGGTTAAGGTTAGGGTTAAGGCTGGGTTGGGGTTATTTTATGGGAATGGCTGGTTAAGTTTAGGCATGAATAGGTAGTTTGTTATTTTTACTTCCGCTTCCGTCCCGATTCCGTATATGATCTAGTGCTGACCGAGGCGAGTATTTTATTCGTAGGTAGGTTCTGCCACAGGGACCGATTTCAGCCAATCAGAAAGCTAGTCTGAAGTGGCGCGTTCAGCGCGCCGGCAGACGACGGTAAATTACATTACAACCTAAAAATAAACCATTTATTAATTTACATGCGAATTGTACTTACTGTATTACATATACCATGTATATATAATTTACAATAATAATAACAAACAATGTTGAAAGTGTTCATTTTTTGTTTTCATTTAACAAGACACAAACATTTTGTTTCAGATTAAAAGTACATCAACTGTTTACAAAAATAAACAAAAATACACTAAAATTGACAAGATAACTGTCAAACACAGTGTCAGTTGTTCAAAATCACAACAAACCAGAGCCAAAAGCGTATAAGTTGTTTACAAAAATATACACAAAGTAGACCAAAACCACTACTGCTTTCTATGTGTCTTCCCAAGACTCTGATTTGTGTTGACACATTCAGTTATGGGGAGCAGCAAACTTCTGTTTTGGTGGGAGTAGTCCACATTTCAGATCCACCGTAGCTTTTCTTTTGAAAGCTGCCTTTGTATAGCCATGCTCTACTACAAAGGATCGTTTTGTCGGCCTTCCACTAGTTACACACTTACGACCTCCAAGTGCAGCCTTCTTTCTGCGAGCTACAGCAGTTGGCTGCACACCTATATGCTTTAAACCCGCCAACCGTGATTTGTGTTTACGATTAATGACACTGCCAGCACCAGAATATTTGCCAAATGTATGTAATGCTGAAATAAGCGCAGAGTCTGTTCTCAGGTTTTGTGAACTGACAAGAAAGTCTTTGACTGCAGGTAGAAAAGTTACTGGATCATTTTTTACTTTGTTCATCAACAAGTCGCTGAATGCTCTCAAATTGTCATTCACTTGTTGAACCTCAGAGTCAGAATCAAGGATGTGACTTTCCACTGTGGCATCCCTTGCATGTATGGCTGCTGGTGTAGTGACTGGGGGATTTTCTAGTGGTATAACATCACTCTCAGTACCGAGAGAGTCACCGTGCTGCTCTTCATTCAGGGGGACACTCTGTGTCAATGAGGAAAACCACTCTAATGAGACATTGTCTTTTCCTGTTGCAATTTTGTAGAACACAAGCCTACGTTCAGGTGAATTAACTGGTACCATGTTCAGAGTTTCCACCTTGAACCGCTTCACAACTGCTGCCTGGTGTTTGCAGGGGCCACCGTTCATCCCCACATGGCATGTACATAGCCCCATGTCCACATCAACACAGTAATATTTGTCCTTTTCCCTCTCACTGGACACACAGTACAACTTCGGGGCAATTTGGCTGATACTATCAAAGTTGATGGTCTTGCAATCAGGTAAGTATTTCGAATGTCTTGTCATGTCCATTCTGTTATTGGCCACTCCAATCAGACGCCGTGCATATAAAGACCATTCTGGTCATGATAAAGTCCACCAGTTGAAGTGTGTTAAATGCTTTCATCCGAAAGAGGACTTTCTCTTTTAGTACTCTCACAGCAGCCTCACAGTAGTTGTTGGTATGATTCCCTCAAGTAGGCATGTTTTCTCTGTAACAAATGGCCCACAAATTCCTACGGTCATAAGATTTTTTAACATATGCCAAATAGGACGGATAGGCACAAGCCAGTTCATCAGTCAGTATGGCCTGAAACTTGGACTCCAGTGAGGCTTTCGTGTCTGCATACATCATATATTTTATATGTGAAAACAACTGCTGCCTATGTTTCAGTGGTACCTGGCTTTTAGCATCCCAGAGCCATCGCCAGGCTGCTTGTAGAACATGGAAAACACACAAAAGCAAACTTGACTCTGGAAAAGCCTCCTGCAGAGCACCTCGTTCAGCATCACTGTCATCAGTCATAAAAACCTGTGGGCCCAAGCAACCTCTCCCATAAAAAGCGCCATCAGACAGAAAAGACTTGTACAAGTCCAGAGCCGCTTTGATGGTGTTTTGGGATTCAGTTGTTGTGATTAGACAACCAATTGGAAGACCACCACAACAACTATGAGTCATCAATAAAAACACACGAAGATTATGACGATCCATATTTCCAGAAGAGTCCATAAAAATCATTTCACCGCTCTGCTCTACCATTTGAAGGACTCTTTTCATTAACGGTGTGCACATTGCGACGATCAAGTGGTTGTCACTTGTAACATTCATCTTTATCACAGTCTCCCCATGCTCCAAATTGAGGCACTCAATTAACGATTCCAAGTTCTTTAACATGTTCACATCGCAACCACCATATGCTTTTTGAGCAGTTGAGTAGTAAAGCCTGCAATTAGACAAGTGTTCATTGAAATTACATTGTTCAGTGTTAAATACATGTGGGCTGAATTATTTCCTTTAATCACTGTCTTACCTATAACACCATTGAAGGTCTGGTATTTTAGCTCTGTCAGCACTGTTGAAAACAAAGTCATCTTGATCTTCGGCCTGCATATCATACTTGTGAATCTCAAGTGCTGATGAAGGAGTATGGCCTGCTTCGAACAGCTTCAAAAATGTCTCTTTCACTTCATCAGAAACATCCCGGTGTTTCAAGGCATCAGCACAGTTGATCGGATGATTGTGAATATATCGCATATTCACAATCATTGGGAATTCTGGTAGATGAGCATTAGTTGACCTTACCATTTGAAAATAAAATGTTAATACCAAAACATTTATTAATTGTCAATTATAAAACTGCACAAGTTATGTTCAAGAAATCAAAACAATCTCTTCCAGCAAATATCCAAAATCTTTTTTGTGATAGAGACACTCAGCTCCAAGTGAGTTTGAGAAGAGTCATAGATTACATCAACCACGAGTCAGAACAACAAGAAGCTATACCCGATTTTTTTTCGAAGTAGTTGATAAAAATGCTTATTACTACATACAAGTTGTATT